ATTGTTAATATGATATATTTGATTAGGTCCTAAGTAATATTGATCGATTACCTTCGATATTATGAAGTTATGAGATATTTTAATGATAATTATTATTTACAAGATGCAAGAAAAGAAGGTAAAGTGTGTGTATGACACATAAAACCTGTCAATTTAGCTTTAAAAGCAACCGTAACGGTCGTTGTCATTTGCGCGACTATTTTAACAGCGCACAGCGCTCTCATTTATGCTTAGTCACTCTTCTCCACACCGGTCACTGCTATCGCGGTTATCAATTTACTCGCCGTAGTCCGTACCGGTAGTGAGTATTTTGACATTTCTACGAACAGCAACCTTTCTCCCGCGCTGCTATCTGCTAAGAGCAACCGTACCAATGAGTAAATAAGGCACATTTACCAACCTCTACCATAACGCTACTTGCGTACCGGGGGTTGCTATTCAGTTGGGGGAAATAGCAATCCGCACCTTGGGAAGTAGTGAGTTCATAAATTTAGCAACCCGGTAGCAACACATCAGACGGTTGCTATTTTGAATAAACGTCAAAAGTTTGTTTTGCCGCTGTGGAAAACGGTAACTTAAATTATGACTCTGATAGCAACGACCGGTGTGGAGAGGAGTGATTAAGCGAAAATGGAAACGCTCTGCGTAAGTAAAATAGTGCCGCAAATGGCAACGACTGGTACGGTTGCTCTAAATTTGGTAACGCGCTTCTCACCGAGAAGCCGACTGCTATTTTAGTTACTCGTATGGTAACCCCCGATACGGTAGCTGCGCTATGATGAGGGCTGCTAAAATGAGTTTAGCAGCGTACCGTTACGGTTGCTCTAAGAGGATCACAATAGCGATTAGCTGTAACGATGAGCAACGCGATGAGCGAGCAATCAGCGATCATAAAATCGCTAGTTGTGACCTTCTGAAAGCAAAATTGACAGATTTTATATGTCAAACACAAACTTTTCCACCTCTTCTTGCTTCTTACAAATTAAAATTATTATTATAGTATCTCATAGCTTCATAATTACGAAAAATACCATTTTAGCTGTAATGAGCAATTACAAGCCTGTATAGAAGGAATTGTTTTTGGACGGATTCTATGCGTTCCTCGTGTATGGCAATGTACGGATTCCATACTAGGTTACAGTATTCCAGAATAGGTCTTACGTACGTAATATATAATAATTTGATAGTGTATGGGTCTTGACAATTATAGCTGAACCTCTTAATACAGCCCAACATACTATTTGCTTTCGTTATGATTGTATTATAATGTTCTACAAAAGTGAGTCCCCACCTAGGTCCCTTACAATTTTACATTTTTCTACTTTTTAGTTGCCTAAATTTATTTCAAAAAGAGGTGTTTCTATTTTTCTGCTAAATACAATTGAGTTGAAATTTTTACATCGAGTTGGAGTAGACTTTTACTACACCAAGTGTTGAATAATTTGATTTCATTCTGGAATTCTTCTGTGTCGCTAGAATTACTTATTTCCATGAAGAGCTTCATGTCCTCTGAATATATAAGAACTTTTATTTTTTTAAGTATGCAGGAAATGTTCCAATTGGGCCTGAATGAGAGCCCTGAGGCACCCCAGAGGTGACCGAAATAGGTTCAGAAAGTTTATTCTGAAAACGAACTATTTGTTTGCGTTGCGTTAAATATGATTGGAGCCAATTCAGAAGCCTAGATTCCATTCCTATTTTTTGTAATTTAAAGAGTAATAATGGTATGTCGATTCGGTCAAATGCTTTACTGAAGTCAGTATAAAGAGCTTCCACGTGCTTGCCATTGTCCCGAGCATTGTCCATTGCGTTAAGAATGAAGGTTACAAATTCAAGAAGATTAGAAGTAGCTGAACGATCTTTAAAAAAGTCGTGCCGTTTGTTTGTAATTTGATTTTTTACTTGCTGAAATTTTTTGTCGTTTACGATTGATTCAAAAAGTTTTGGGATGCAAGAGATAATGGCAATTCCACGATAATTACGGATGTCAGATTTCTTGCCTGATTTGAAAACATGCACCAAATGAGACGATTTCCAAATTTCAGGGAATTTCCCATTTTTCAGAGACATATTGAAAAGGTGTTCTAAAGGAAGGGTGAGTTGTTCTGAAAGATTCTTCAAGAATACAGGTGCAATTCCGTCAGGTCCTGGTCCTTTAGATGCATCCAAATTTTTTAGTGCAATTATAATTATAAACACACCACCAAATTTATTCACCCTGCACCGGAACCTGGAATTGAACTCGAGACGACCGTATTGGTGAACCTTGACACTACTTCGCTACGCCAACACTTTGAACTGACGTAAACAAATATACACGGTTTTCTACAATAATACCGTTGAGTAGAGGCTTTATAATAGTGCACATGAATCACTTTTCTCGACTAGTTACTTCAGTTTTGTAAAGGAGCAGAGTAAAACCAAAGATGAGTACTAAGATGAAACTGTCGGAAGAAAAACTTTCTATTTTAGTGTCCTCTTTCACGGTCCCTTTCATCCAATGAATACCCCCCGTATTCAAGGTAATTTTGTGGTTTTGCTGCCCCCTCGGTAGAGATGAAATTTTGCGCTCATTTTGATCAAAACAATTACAACAAAAGAGATGTCCCATCTTTTAATTAGGGGTATTTACGTATTCTCGTCAATCTAAGCAGCGTCTGCACTTCTACTAGCATTTTCTCAGCCACACGCACATATATGATGTGTCTGTTTGTTTACATTCATCTGCTGCTTGCTTCTCTATCCATTCCAATCGACAGAATTTTTCAAAACGTTTTGAAAGCGTTTTTACAACGCTCCAAACTTCTCAGGTGAGTGTGACTATTGTCGGCAGTCTCTTTTTCTTCGGCAACCTTCCCATTAGAACTGCGTGTTAACCAGCTGTTCTATTATCGGCAACTCGAAATCAACCTCATTTTGTAGTGCGTATGCTTTATTTGAAGAAAAATGTAGCATTACTGGATTGCTCGATCGTTCAAATATAATCAGATTGAAGCTGAAAGGCTAAACAATCGTTTGGACACATTCAGGGAAGTGCGTTGATGGGAAAACATAGTGAAATTAACGTTTAAATTTTGGTTGCCGAAAACAGTCAATGGGTGCCGAAGCCAACATTTACCCTACTCGATTAACAACTAATCGATTTTTTTTTCGTTCGCTGTGCTGCCATTTTTCCACCAATGAGAGTGCAGCACATGTTTGAAACGATCGGTGATGATCCTCTGGAGATGTTAATGCTTATATCGGCATGATATAACCGATTACAAATATTTTACTTTTCGGTTCGTTTATCGATTAATCGATTATTTGAATGAAACTCGGCCACCACTAAATGAATGTGAAACGTCATTTCAAATATTAGGACCATACATAAATAATGATACAATTTGAAAGGGACCGGGGCTAATCACAAATTACGTCCCCACGGTTATGAAATAAACACGAGTGTTGACCGGTTGGTAAAACTTGTAAAACTGCACACGTCTAAAAATAAACCTAGCTGAAAAGTAGCGCTAATAAATATTATTAGCTGAGTACAGGTTGTTTAGTTGTTGAAAAAACACTTTTGATGTTTACACTAATAAAATTCGACACATTTTTATTGGCGAATTTCCATGTGAAATTCCACATGATATTCATGTGTACACACATAAACAGAATTCACTCAGAAGTACACATGACATTTATGAGTCAAATGAATAGTATGTGTGGTTTCACATGAATTTTATGTGTACACATAAGAACTATGTGTCCGATACATATATATAAAAAAGTCATGTGTGGGACACACAAAAATTAGCATTGAATTTTTATTACACGGTAACCGCAAAATATCCAATAATGACTACAAAGTAAGCATTTTCGAGGGAAACTGGGACTACCCATTAAATGAGTAAAATTTTACCCATTTATGGACAGTTACTTTTTTTTTTTACTCATTTAATGGGTAGTCCCAGTCTCTCTCGAAAATGCTTACTTTTTAGTCAATGTCGAGTCTTTTATAGTCATTATTTGGTATTTTGCGGTTACCGTATAGTGTATGTTATCAAGCTAGAGTGTTTGGTTGTGTAGAATTGATGGCTTCATGAGTAACATATTCACTTTATTAGCTTTGCAGCTACAAGTTGAAAGTTGATTAGCATGTGTATAAAAGTGACATTAGCGTTTATTGGCTGTTGTTATTCAGACTGACAAATTGAATAATGGTTGTGAAAAAGTTGAGTAAATGCTCTTCAAAACTATTTTGTTAGCTTCTGCTTGTAGCTGTATCTGCAACTTTGTTCAGCTACTTTACAGCACATCGATGCAAAAGTTGGCTCAAAGCAGAAAATGTTAGTTGGCCAATTCTGCTATATGTGCGCGTCTTCCACCCAGGGGTGCTCATCTTGCCCCGGGGTGTCTGAGAACGGTGTTAAAAAGTTACTTTTTTAATTCATATTGTAATTAGTCACATGTTTATCTATTGAACTACAGCATTGATTAGCTTGGAACCCAAGAGAGTACCAGAGCTGAGCCAAAAAGTTGAGCACGTTTCTTCGGGACCTTCTAGTCTTAGAGTTACATCTATGGTTTAGGTTGCGAATGAAGGTTTCGGTTCGCGAGAAAATGGCCTTACAAGGTTTGTTTATAAAATGGAGTTGAGGCCATTTCAATTGTTGGTCTTGACATGTTGGATTCAAACTGAGCCTGTGTTCCATTTGGTGAATTTTAACTTAAATTTGACAAATGGAACTTTTCAAATAATCCTGCTGTTGTACCAGATTGATAATTTTAACAAACACCTTCTCGAAAATCAGAAGATAAACAACTGAGGGATTTTCGAACATTATAATTTATTTCCGATGTGTAAAATTTAAGTGATTATTCACCAAATGGAACACAGCCTGAATTTAAGAAGTTTGTCAGGTTTAGAATACAATGTTGTAAATATAAATGTATCATTTAAACGATGGAAAGCTCCGTAAACCTTTTAAAAACGCTCTTATACCATAGATGTAGCTCTAAGACAAGAAGGTCCCGAAGAAACTGTCGTGACCGGACCGAGGTTTCCAGCCTTGGTCACGGCTACCCGAATTAGCGATGCAGCTCCCACGGGTCATTTGTTTATGCTGCTGCTGCTGTTTCTGTTGCTGCTGTTTTTGCTGCTGCTGCTGTTTCTGTTGCTGCTGTTTCTGTTGCTGCTGTTTCTGTTGCTGGTGGTGGTCCGCCACCTCCAAAATTTCTTTTGCTGCTGTTTCTGTTGCAGCTGTTTCTGTTGCTGCTGTTTCTGTTGCTGCTGTTTCTGTTGCTGCTGTTTCTGCTGCTGGTGGTGGTCCGTCACCTCCAAAATTTCTTTTGCTGCTGTTTCTGTTGCTGCTGTTTCTGTTGCTGGTGGTGGTCCGTCACCTCCAAAATTTCTTTTGCTGCTGTTTCTGTTGCAGCTGTTTGTGTTGCTGCTGTTTCTATTGCTGCTGTTTCTGTTGCTGCTATTTCTGCTGCTGGTGGTGGTCCGTCACCTCCAAAATTCGTTACAAGAATCCTCTCAGAGATATTTCATCCATCAGGTGATAATTATTTTCAAACTTGCCACACTGATATTTATTTCAAAATTATCAATATCTGTTATCATTATTCATCAAAATGACTACCTATTTCAATATAATCATTGAAATCAGTGTCACCAATTTCAACCGCGTACATGAATATTACCGTTCTATTCAAGTTTCAGATGAACTAATTATCCATTAGGTCATGGCTATTTATCCATTACGTCATGGTAAATTTCTTCAATTTACTTTTCCATCCATCATGTTGTATCAATTCTTATTTACCATGAATCAGGTCATGGTAATACTTATTAACCATCCACTATACTATCTATTTTGCCTTGAAGTTTTCTAGCTTCGTGAAATAATACATATTTTGCCTCGGAGACCTTTCACTCCGGAAATTTTCAAGAATCTTTATTATTATTATTTTAAGCATAGTATATCATCCTTCACGTCATGGTAAATTTCTTCAGTTTACATTTTCATCCATCATGTCGTGTCAATTCTTATTTACCATCCATCAGGTCATGGTAATTCTTATTTATCATCAATCAGGTCATGGTAATACTTCTTTAGCATCCACTATACTATCTATCTTGCCTTGAATTTTCTCCTTTCGTAAAATAATACATATTTTTTTCTCGGAGACCTTTCACTCCGGAAAATTTCAAGAATCCTTATTATTATTATTTTTAGCATAGTTTACCATCCTTCATGTCATGTTAAATTTCTTCAGTTCACATTTCCCTCTATCATGTCGTATCAATTCTCATTTACCATCCATCAGGTCATGGTAGTTCTTATTTACCATCCATTAGGTCATGATAATTCTGATTTACCATCCATCAGGTCATGGTAATTCTTATTTATCATCAATCAGGTCATGGTAATACTTCTTTACCATCCACTATAGTATCTATCTTGCCTCGAATTTTCTTGTTTCGTAAAATAATACATATTTTGCCTCGGAGACCTTTCACTCCGGAAATTTTCAAGAATACTTATTATTATTATTTTTAGCATAGTTTAACATCCTTCATGTCATGGTAAATTTCTTCAGTTCACATTTCCATCTATCATGTCGTATCAATTCTTATTTACCATCTATCAGGTCATGGTAATTCTTATTTACCATCCATCATGTCATGGTAATTCTTATTTACCATCCATCAGGTCATGGTAATTCTTATTTACCATCCATCAGGTCATGGTAATTCTTATTTACCATCCATCAGGCCATGGTAATTCTTATTTACCATCCATCAGGTCATGGTAATTCTTATTTACCATCCATCAGGTCATGGTAATTCTTATTTACCATCCATCAGGTCATGGTAGTTCTTATTTACCATCCATCAGATCATGGTAATTCTTATTTACCATCCATCAGGTCATGGTAATTCTTATTTACCATCCATCAGGTCATGGTAATTCTTATTTACCATCCATCAGGTCATGGTAATTCTTATTTACCATCCATCAGGTCATGGTAATTCTTATTTACCATCCATCAGGCCATGGTAATTCTTATTTACCATCCATCAGGTCATGGTAATTCTTATTTACCATCCATCAGGTCATGGTAATTCTTATTTACCATCCATCAGGTCATGGTAGTTCTTATTTACCATCCATCAGATCATGGTAATTCTTATTTACCATCCATCAGGTCATGGTAATTCTTATTTACCATCCATCAGGTCATGGTAATTCTTATTTACCATCCATCAGGTCATGGTAATTCTTATTTACCATCCATCAGGCCATGGTCATTTACCATCCATCAGGTCATGGTAATTCTTATTTACCATCCATCGGGTCATGGTAATTCTTATTTACCATCCATCAGGTCATGGTAAGTATGCTGCGAAAATTTTCTAAGTTTTTTTTTACTATCTCACTATACTCACTTTTACACTATATGCTGCTACCAGCTGCGCCATTGTCGTGACCGGACCGAGGTTTCCAGCCTTGGTCACGGCTACCCGAATTAGCGATGCAGCTCCCACGGGTCATTTGTTTATGCTGCTGCTGCTGTTTCTGTTGCTGCTGTTTTTGCTGCTGCTGCTGTTTCTGTTGCTGCTGTTTCTGTTGCTGCTGTTTCTGTTGCTGGTGGTGGTCCGCCACCTCCAAAATTTCTTTTGCTGCTGTTTCTGTTGCAGCTGTTTCTGTTGCTGCTGTTTCTGTTGCTGCTGTTTCTGTTGCTGCTGTTTCTGCTGCTGGTGGTGGTCCGTCACCTCCAAAATTTCTTTTGCTGCTGTTTCTGTTGCTGCTGTTTCTGCTGCTGGTGGTGGTCCGTCACCTCCAAAATTTCTTTTGCTGCTGTTTCTGTTGCAGCTGTTTGTGTTGCTGCTGTTTCTATTGCTGCTGTTTCTGTTGCTGCTATTTCTGCTGCTGGTGGTGGTCCGTCACCTCCAAAATTCGTTACAAGAATCACTTCAACGAGCTTAGGTACTTCATATTTATACCTGCTAACCTATCAAAATTCTCTAACCAATGAGATTCCGTTTACATACGGACTATCATGCTTCACGCTCACCCGATTCTACTCATTATTTGTTCAACTCTAACTCTATCTACTACAGAAACGTGCTCAACTTTTTGGCTCAGCTCTGGTACTCTCTTCGGTTCCAAGCTAATCAATGCTCCGCTCGAAACATAGGAAAATTGACGAACCCCTCATTTTATCTGTCAAACTTTCATAGCGAATCAAAACAAACATAGTGTAGTACTAGAATTTCGACTAGAATGGGGTACGTTAATCGTTTTGCTTGGGACCAATAGGCTAGTCAAGTAGTGAGCTAATTTAAAATCGTTTTTGACGTTCTGGTACCTATGGGATTTGACATTCTGGTGCAGATTCAATGAAAAAATTAACAAGTTGCTTCGGCCGGCGCCAGTGGTGTAGTGGTCAACGTGACTGTTTTCTCACCCCAATGAGTCTGGGTTCAATTCTGAGGCATAAAAATCTCTGGTCACGTCTTCCTTCGGACGGGAACTGATGATTAACTCTGATGTTGACATCAAAGCATCGTGACTTTCTTAATTTGCATTTAATCCAAAGATAATACCAAGGAGGTAGCGTACTTATCTCTACTAATTATAAGTAACCATAGCCAGCATTACCGCGGGCCTACGCTCTGGACCCGCTTAGATTGATATGAGTTCACGTAATTATACTGATTAGACAATAGTGGCGGCGTGTCAGGTCCTTGGATGATACCGGTTGGAGCTCAGTAAAAGAATTAATAACATAATAAAAACGGATTTCAGACTCGACATTTTTCGATTTTCATGAAATTAATGTAAGTACTCCTACTTACATTTTCCATGGATCGATGAAAACGTATACTGTAATGGATCATCATGAATCCAGAATCAACCCACCCAACTGCTTGGTAAATGCAAGGCATGTAACCACAGCTGCTAAAAATCCCAGCTTTTATCATTGCGTTTAAGCAGGCATACGATTCTATTAATCATCGCGGTTTCCCTGCTCGCTCTATCATGTAACGAGGCTATTTACGTAGCCCAGCATCTTCCAGGTTTCGATTATGTTTGGACAACACTTTATTGCCTTTTCTTTCACGTTTTGCACAGGGATGGCATATACATCTTACATGCATATCATATTACTCAGGTTGTCCTCAATTCGACCCATGTAAATCACACTTCATGGTGCTCAGGGAAAAAAAATATAGCCCGAACAGGAGCATACCTTTTAGAACCATTCGTGTATTCACCCTCTGCTTAAAAGGTTTGATTGCGTGATTGAATAATGAAAGAATGAAACGATTTTTTTCACCACCAGTTAGTAATTGTTTGCGTGGAAGCAATGTGATTTTGACTATTCATTTATAGTTTGGAAATGTTGTTGCATACACTGTCGATTATCATAGCAAATTCCCATGAACTGCTTTGCTGAATATGTCAAAATATTATTTGATATTTTCATTTTCTTGACTTAGATTTAAAAACAAAAGTATCCGTAGAACAACCATTTTTTCCCTAGATTAGTTTTCCGTCGATCTTGTTTTGCGTGCTGAGAACCAATGCTACCGACGCCAGGGAAGCAGCTCCCACACCTGGACCTCGACTCATCAACTCATGAACCGGGGACCAACGGCTTTACTTCCCTTCCGAAGGAAGGCGTGATCAGAGATGTTATGCCTCAGATCAAACCGGCGGCGCCGACTGGGATTGGACCCAGGCCTGTTGAATTGAACAAACATTGTTAAGCACAATAATTTCTATCTTTCACATGTATTAATTTTTTGAATATACTTAATTGATATTAGAATATTTGATGATATTTTAAAATATATCTAAGTTGTCTTTGCCCTTGGTTTGATTATAAATAATGCTGTTGATTATTGCAACAACATTCTATCGGCTATTATTTTTCACAGTTCTGTACCAGTGCACAGTGATTTGAAACAAACAATTCGTGAATCTTTTTATTTAAACATTTGATATTTTTTTCTTCAATAGGATGTATTTGGATGCATTTTTAAAATGACAAGAAATATCGATTGATAATAATTATTTATATTGATCTTCACCGCAGGTGGCGCTGCAAAATTTAACTTCTTAGTTTGGCTAGATGTATGGCCGATAAGCTAAAGTTTAGTAGAAAATATATATAGGAGAAATGGATGTAATTTGAGCAATCGACTAATTTTTTTTAATAGCGACCAAAAATATCCATTAGTACCGTCCCAATGACGCGTTCATCTAGATAAAATTGATACATAGCAGATTTTTATCGATGGGCTCAATCTTATATCCATAGGCCAACATTAGAGCCATTTTCCTATATACAGCAAAAACGATATAGTGGTTCTCAGAATTTCGTAAAAAATTGTAGTTTTGTTTCGTATCGCAAAATATTAGACCTGTTTTTTTCTCATTAGGGTGACCATTTACATGTTAGGGTGGCAAAAATTGCTTTTTTTAAAAATAAGTTTTGAACCCGATTTCAAAAATCAAAATATATCTAATATGAAAGGTAAATGAAAATATTTTTTTGGAAAAATATAATGGTATTAAAACACAGGGATTGTATTTGTTTTTTTATGGGTTTCATGGTTTGTAGACAGAGGATAAAAAATGTTTTTTTATGTTTTTCCTTTAAAATTTAGGCATTTTTACGCAACATATAAAAAAAAAATCAGTGAAGTGTTCGTTTTTGAGTAATATTTTTTTATGTTTCCAAGTTTTGGATTTTTGCTCCATGCTCCTATGCGACTAGACTACTATTCGTTGTGACCATGTTACATTTTTTTATAAATTTTTATTAAGGAGATTTTTAGCCTAGTTCATCTCCGAGACCATGTTACAGTCGCTATAAATCAATGGACATACATAGCTAACATAGTCACTGAAGACGCATGGTAGTCTAGTCGCATAGGAGTATTGAACCAACGGGTGTTCAATAAAAAATGAGAATTTTTTCAGTCATATATCTAGCAAAAAAAAAATTATTTTCAATGAATTCAGTATTTTTTATTAAAAACATAATGTTTATGTTAAACGTCAATGAATATTGGAGAAGGGGCCCTGGTCAGTCGTACGACGCAACTTAGTCGCGATGCTCTCACAAGAGCGCTGGACGGCACTGGAATCATTCTCATTTTTTATTGAACACCCGTTATAACCCAAAACTTGATAACTTCAAATAAATGTAACTCAAAAACGAAAAAAAAATAAAAAACTGATTTTTGAAATGTTGTGCAAAAAAACCTAGATTTTTCAGGAAATATATAAAAAAAATACACTAGCAACCTTGCAATCTGATGCTATCATAATTTTCAGCAACGTCAGGAATGCTCACGAACCCCCGATATTCAGCCAGGAACATAATCGCAATGTGATAATGAAAGCAAGGAGTTCTCATTTATTGTCAAAATGTTAAAAGAATAAAAGGGCTCTCAAGGCGAGTGAAATGTATAAGCAAGTGACTGCATGTAGTTTTCCTGCGATTTTAGGAACTGAACCGAGTTGGGATGCAGACATAAATAAATAACGAAAAAGGTTTCCGGTGATCGATCTATTGTTTTTAGGGATGATCGCGATAAATAGTTATGCAACAAAAAATGTGCTAGAGATGTTTTAGTTAGTGTTGACTATGAATCTGAACAAATTTCATCTTGTAAGTGTAAAGTGTTTAACCAGGTTTGGGTCAAATTTGTCATTGAAGATCAAGTTTATATTTTTGAAGTGAATCTCTTAAATAAAGGATAACAAACGCGGAGAGGAACCAGCCTGCGGCTGAAAATCTCATACATAAAGAGACAAAACAATAAAAAAGGATAACAATCAATATCTTTGCGGCAGTTTTTCCCCCCAGAATATGTAATAAAATTCATTGAAAAAAATGTTTTAGTCTAGCTGGTAATATTATTTTTTTTTTCCTCTGTTCGCGACCAAACACCACTGCGACCAGTAATTTGATCTATTGTAGCATATCCCTTGTCCTTAGTTTAGTACATGTCGTATTACTCCATCACTATTGAGAAATGATGAAGTTTTCGATTTTTTCACAGAGTTGTCATTCTTGCAATTATCGCAAGGATCCGACTCTAATTCAAAGGACCCGCTATTTATACCCTTCGGAGTGTTGAAACACCCTCCAAAGGCGCGCCCCTTTTTCAGTCAAAATTGGATTCCTTAGTAACAAAATTATGGAATGACACCGATAATGACCATGCATCAGAACCCTAGTCTTAACCACTTCAAACTAGGGAACAACGAATAGAAAATTAGGAATCACATAGATGAAGACTCATTTTTTCCTTGTTTCAAGATCATCCTCGGTGGACAAAGCCAAGTCTTATCACTATCAAGCGTTAGCGTTAGCGTTGTTATGATATACTTCGTAGATTGGATACTAGCGACACTCATCTTCTGAAATTCTCAGTTAGACTACTTTCAGGAATAATGCTGGGGAGTAACCATTGGTTCCAATCTAAACAAGAGTAATAGACTGTCGCTACTCCCGGCCATGCCCATCTTTACCATAACTAGGGATAGGGAAGGAAATGTTGATGTAGTACTTACCTAATGAGAGGCCACTGACTTAGCAACACCCTACGCTACGGAGTTGGACGGTTGGGTAGGGTATTCGGTTAGGATTCACCACAAGTTGGCGATGCAACAAAAGTACACACTTTGCGACGATTTGCGTGTTCGGTAATTTTTAACTGGAACAAATCTGTAAATGCAGAATATTATAGATTTTTCGGTAAAAAAATTAAAGTTCAAACGAAGTTTCGGTAATCTGAATGTTTAATTACCGAACATTGTAAAAAAATACAATACGACTGTAAAATGTGGTAAACGCCGAATTCGGTAAAAAATTACCGAACACACTGTAAATGTCAAATCCGTTTACCGAACTTCGGTACATTCAGACTGTCAAATCGTGGGTCGGTTTTTTTTACACATAACCGCAAGCTGAGAGAAGTGTGACCAGTGTAAAGTGTGACCAGTGTAAAGTGTGACCAGTGTAAAGTGTGACCAGTGTA